CCACTTCCAGCCCCTCGCCACACACACACACACACACACAGTGTGCCTTTTCTGGAACAGCAATAAGAGCAATACTGAAACCTGGTAGCCTCCTCCCCTCCCAGTGCCTGTCTGCCAGCTCTTCAAATACCTCCAAGAACCGTGGCCCCAGCCCTCCACCCTGCTCCCTCAGCTGGACGCCCCTTCTGCTAGGGGAAAGGGGACAGTGGGTTCCCGGGCAGTGACTTACTGAATGTGGCTCTTTAGCCAAAGTCTCTAACTCCCACCAGAAGACCTTTCCCTGTATGGGCCTGGTAAGAAGGTGGGGGAAGAGACTGATTGGATTTGATGGCGAGTACTGATGAACAGGATTCCCTGGAATGCCTTCCTGCTCTGTTTAAAATGAGCCACAGGTGAAGCAGGAGGAGGGATCTCATTACCAGAAAGAGCCAGGAGCGGGAGACCTCTGGACCTGAGATCCCTGCGCAGTGAACTTCCAAGATCCAGAGAACAGCTAGACCATCGGAGCAGCAGCAAAACCAGGAGCCTGACCATGGGCCAGAGTCATGCAATTCCCAGCCCACGGAGAAAGTCAAGCTGAGTGCCCTTTGTGCAGGGGTGCCTCCAAGCACTACATTAAGAGGGCTGGGTTTGCTGACCCTCAGGGCTTGAGCTGGATGCCCTCTGGTTACAGCAGAGTGCTACTGACCTGAAACTTTGTAACACCTGGTAAACAAACTTTGTAACACCTGGTAAACAACTACCCTGAGTATTTCTCACTGGTATTACAACTTGCTGACTTCCTTAATTAGCCCTTTAATCATAAACTTTGTGTCCATGTAGCCATTGCCTTGGATATGAGAAACCAGAAGGGGACCGAGAGAACACTAGCACTGCCTGCTCTCCCTCAGCCCCCACCCCCACCCCACCTCCCATAGGGTTCCCTTCCTGGAAGTGGTCGCTGCCCAGAGCCTAGACTCTGGTGGGGCTCAGGGCCACAGGTTGGGGCCATTTCCTGAAACCATCTCATGTCACCGTGGCCACTTCCTTCCTCGGAAAGTCATGGGCTTGGAGGAGGGTTCTGAGAGGCCGAGTCCTGGCCAGGCGAGTCCCAAAGCCTTGCTTTAGATCTAGTCCCAGCCGAGTGGGGAGAGCTGCCCAAGGGAGGGGGCAAAGGCTCCCACCATGCCGGACACACAGGTCAACAAGAGGGCCAGGACCCAAGGCCCAGGACCCTGCCACAGTCAGATCCACAGTGGAACATGGGTCCCCGGCTCACATCCCCCCTGAGAGAGGTGGGGTGGGGGGTGCTCTGCCAGGAGTCTGAGTAGGAAAGAGGCCTCCTCTGAGGGGGTAGGGGCTGCCAGGGAGATCCTAGAAGATACAATGGCTGGTGGTCGGGCACATAAACAAATCAGAGGGCGTGGGGTGTGATCAGGTGTAGAGGCTGCACCTGGGGTGGGCAGTGTTCTGAGGACGGCGAAGGTCAATGAGGCAGGAGCAGAGAGCAGGACGCAGGGGAGAGAGAATGAGGAAGCAGCCCTGGCCCTGGGGCTCAGGCCTGGCCGACTCTCTTGGCCATTAATAGCAGAGATCCTAGCGAGAATTTTTCTTCACGTTATGGTGGGGTTGGACTTGGCTCCCGGTGACCCCCCCGGGAGTCAGAGTGGAGCTGTGCTCCTTTTGGCCATCTTACCCCACCCTCCACATACGGTTCTCGCGGCCTTTCTTCCAAGGCACCCCGTCTTTTGGTCAGCAGTTGAATGTATTTGGTGGGCAGCTGAGATCATTTGGTGGGTAGCAGAGGGCATTAACCATTTGCTGCAGAGGGGCTCCAGTGTTAATAATAACAAGTATCTACTGAGCCCTGCCTCTGAGCTAAACTTTTTAATGTAGCTTAAATAGTATTTGATATCCACAAAGCATGTACTCGTACTGCCCTTACGTTATAGGTGTGGCAACAAAGACACGGAGCGGGTAAGCGTCTTGGTGTTTAAGCCCAGGCTGTCTGGCTCCAGAGCCTGCGCCCTTCACCATCTCATGAAGAGCTCTTTGCACCCAGAAACGTGCCAAAGACGGAGGGAAACGGAACCGGGGTCCATATTTCCTCTCTGCAGCGTCCAATCCAAAACTCACTGCCATCGAATCCATTCTGCCTCACAGCGACCCTATAGGACAGGGTGGAACTGCCCCTGGGAGTTTCCAAGACTATAACTTCTTTGTGGGGGTAGAAAACCCCCGTCTTTGTCCCACGGAGTGGCTGCTGGTTTCGAACTGCTGACCTTGAGGTTAGCAGCACTTGTAACCACCCCTCCACCAGGGTTCCAGCTGCAGTGCGTCCATACTCATTAAAACCTAACCCCTGGTGGCACTGTCCGGTAAGCGCAGGTTGGCTGTTCAAACCCATGTGCAGGACCGTCTGTAAAGATTTCCAGCCCCAGAGCCCTAGGTGGGACCCCTATAACTCGGGATCAACCCGATGGCAGGGGGTCAGGGGTGGGGGTGGTTGGATGGACTGGGGTGAGACCCTGAGATCGCCCTTCAGGCAGTTGCCCCAAGTTGAAAACGTGGAGCGCAAAGGGGACAGCTGCACCGGGAAGAGAAAACATGTCTACAGCGCTGGCGTTTTCCATCGGCTTTCACCTGGGCCCAAGGTGGAGCGATAGCCGGGTGTCCGGGCGCCGGCGCGTCTGCGCACGGGCAGAGCGCGCCCCCTGGTGTGCAGCTCGGGAAAGGCGCGGGTCCCCAGAGTGATGGTCTGCACCTGGCCACTGCAAGGCGCTATTGAGTCCATTCGGACCCTCCGCGGCCTTCTGCGCAGCAGCATGAAACACAGCTGGGTCCTGTGCCATCCTTACAATTGTTGCTACGCTGAGCCCATCCCATGGGGCAGCCACTGTGTCCATCCAGCTTGTCTAGCGCCTTCCTCATTTTCCCTGCCCCTCTGTTTGACCCGGGGTGATGTCCTTCTCCAGGGACTGGTCTCTCCTAAGAACATGTCCAAAGGATGTGAGATGGAGTCTCGCCATCTTTGCCTGGAAGCAGCACTCTGGCCGCACTCCTTCCTAGACAGACCTGTTGTTCTTTCTGCAGTCCGGGGTACTTCCAGTACTCTTTGCCCAGAGCACAGTTCAAATGCATTGATTTTCCTTCCGTCTTCCCTATTTCACATCCAACCTTTTCACATGCCTATGAGGCTGTCGAAAATACCGTGACTTGGTTCAGAAGCACGTTAGTCCTCAAAATACCTTCCTTGCTTTTCAACACTTTAAAGAGGTCTTGTGCAGCAGATTGACCCAGTGCTGATCTCCTGACTGCTGCTGCATGAGCATTGACTGTGGATCCAAGCAAGGCAAAATCCTTGACAACTTCAACCTTTTCCCCATTTATCATGATGTTACCTACTGGTCCAATGGTGAGGATTTTTGTCTTCTTTACATTGAATTATAATCCATATCGACAATTGCATACCTTGATCTTCATCAGCAAGTGCTTTAAGTCCTCCTCACTTTCAGCAAGCAAGGGTGCGTCATCTGCATATCGCAGGTTATTGATAAGCCTTCCTCTGATCCTGGTGCCACAGTCCTCGTGGTTATATAACCAGCTTCTCTGATGATTTGCTCAGCATACAGATTGAATAAGTATAGTGAGAGGATACAATCCTAATACACACTTTTCCTGATCTTAAATCATGCAGTATGCCTTTGTTCCATTTGCACAACTGCCTCTGGATCCATGTACAAATTCCACGTGAGCGCAGTGAAGCATTCTGGGATTCCCATTGTTCCCAAGGGTTTCTTAAGGTCCACCCAGTCAAAGGCCTTTGCACAGTCAATAAAACACATGTAAACATCTTCCTGGTATTCTCTGCTTTCAGCCAAGAGCCATCAGACGTCAGCAATGATGTTCCTTGTTGCAGACCCCCCTGTGAATCCAGCCTGAGCCTCTGGCAGCTCCTTGTCAATGGACTGCGGCAACTGTTGTTGGGTGATCTACAGCAACGTTGTACATACTTCTCTGCAAAGTCTGCTCTCACACGCACCCGGGGAAATTCACATGGCCTGGTCACTGGGGTCCAGCTTACTCCCTGGAGGAGAAGGGGATGCCCTATGGCTTCAGATGCTGAACTCATTCCGGTCTATTCCGGGGGTGGGGAGAGGAACTGCGGAGCACTGGACGAAGAGGTCCTGGACTCCAGGCTTCGGAAGGTGAGGGTTTGGAATCATTGTCATGTGGGGGTTCGGGGAGCAGGAGCCACTGACATAGGCTGGTGACATCCCAGGCTGGCTCTAAGCCCAGGCTACGTAGTGATTACACATTAGGCAGGTTAATCACAAGGTCGGCAGTTTGAACTCACCAGCTGCTTTGGGGGAGAAAATGAGACTTTCTGCTCCTGGGAAGATCTCCAGCCTCAGAAACCCACCAGGGTCCCCGGTCCCCTAGGGTCCCTAGGAGTCAGAATGGACTCGCTGGCAATGAGGGTTTGGTTGGGTTTCATTCTCTCCAGCATTGAGCTGGGGGACTGGGCCAGGGGTTCAGTGTGGCTTCCCCCAAGTCACTGGATGAGGCTGGAGTGGGGACCCCCCCATTCTTAGTCCTCTTCATCCCTGGTCTTATTTAATCTTCACAATGTTTCTGGGGTACACAGTCCTGGTGCCACTCACCCCCAGGTCATGGAGAAATAAGTCAAGAGTCAGTGAGGAATCGGCATGGCTATCCAGCGGGGCTCAGAGATGGACCTTGAAACCGGGCCTCTTGGCTCACAAGCCAGTGCCCTGTCCATAGCCTGGGCTAGTGGGCTGTCGCTCTAGGGCCAAGTTCAGTATCCCAGGAGAGGCTGGAGCTGCCCAAGAGCAGACCATCAGAAGCCGCAGAGCAGTGCCCTCTCTGGGCCTGGGGAGGCCACCCACGTGGGATCATCTCCCTGGATGGCAGCAACAGGGGGGTACATTTGGGGGGTCATCGGGGACTGCAGCTGCAGGCCCTCCAGGGGACTTGGTGGGGGGAACCCCAGGTGGAGACTAGTGCATCATCTGGGAGGAACTCGAGGCCTCTGTCTCTGGCCCCTCCTCAGCCTGCTCGCCGCCGTGGCACCTCTGCCAGCAGAACCACAGGAAGAGGAAGAAGCCTGCAAGAAAAGGTGGTCCGTGAGGCCACGGAGAGGGGGTGAGCCAGCAGGGGGCTTCACCAGAGGTCAGGGGCCTCCTAACGGGGGTGGGGGGGGGGCAATCCCGGTGGCACTAGGCTGCTAAGCAGAAGGTTCTAGCCCCCTAAGGAGCCATCGGCTTCCATAAAGATTGCAGCATCCCTACCGTCTCGTGGGTTACTCGTTGGGCTGCTAACCACAAGGTCGGCGGTTCAAGACCACCAGCCGCCTCATGAGAGAAAGAGGAGGCTTTCTGCTCCCGTCAGCAGTGACCATCTCAGAAACCTACAGGGGTAGTTCTGACCTGTCCTGCGGGGTCACTGTGAGTTTGTTTGTTCTTAGGGTGTCCTTCTGCTCCGTTACATGGGGCTGCAGCTCCCACAGTCTCTTACCGTGGGAGGCCCTAGGGGCTGGAAGGCTTGGCCCTGCTAGGAACAAGTTAGAAGGCCAATTCCTTCCCTGGGGCAGACCCAGCCCTAGTTCCACTTGGCAAGTGGAGTGGAGGGTTAGCATTGTGAGCGCAGGCACCCCTCCGCGCGGACCCTTTGGCAGGGGACACCCCGCCCCGCCCCCACGCCCCCACGGGCCCTACCGTAGAAGGAGTTCAGGATGGTGAAGAGGAAGAGCTGCGGCAGGAGGAAGACTCCGAAGGAGAAGAAGGCCAGGGCCCACGTGGTGCCCAGCAGCACGGTGAGGCCCAGCACCGTGATGGCGTCCCTGCAGGCCCGCCTGCCAGGCGCCTTCTCCCGGGCCCGCAGCCTGCGCAGGGCCCGCAGCGCACAGGCCAGCACCACCAGGTTGAAGAGAGACGTGAGGCCGCAGTAGCCCATGACCAGGACACCGTGCACCTTAGCGCTCCGCACCCAGCATCTGCAAAGTGCCAGGTGAGTGGGGGCGTGCCCGGGTCATGCACGGGGCGCTGAACTTCATCTGGTCTCCATCCTTTCCTCCTGGCCTCCAGTCGGGCCACCTGCCACCTTCCAGCACCATTCCACCCACCCTCCTTTCCAGCCACACCGATCTCCCCAGTGTCTCCACGTCCCGGTCCACCTGCTGAATGCCCCTCGCCTTCCACGGGCAGCCGAGGTCAGCTTGCACGGTCCTTTCATGGATCACGGGCCTTGGACCCTCTTTTCTGGAAACATCCACCCCTCCTGACCCACCACATGGCTACCACCATCTTTATGCAACAAGACTTCCCGCACCATGCCCTCCTCTCCCCTCTGCCCAGGAGCAGTGCAGGGAGAGGGTCCAACCTCTGCTCCCCTGGGTGGGGGCACTGCCAACTCATGGCTTGGTGGAGGGGTGCTCTCCATGGGTGGACTGGGGAGCAGAGAGAGCAGGGGTGAGGCAGCTGGCAGAGCGAGACCTGCAAGTTGCCTGAGCCCTGCTCCTAGACCCTCCCTGCCCCCTGAGGCCTGCCCGACTTCACCGAGTGCCTGTCAAGACAGTGCTGGGGGAGAGGCTGCTGCGGTTTCACATGGGCTTATCAGGACACACACACCCCCAGGGGCAGGCATGGTAACACGCCCATCCTGCAGGTAAGGAAACTGAGGCTCTGAGAGACGGACTCGCCTCTCTCTGGTCTGTGGCCCTGCCTAACACCATCACCTGCCCGGGCTCCATCCACCAGCTCCTCTCAGCCACTGCATTCCGATGGCTCCCCCACAGGTCTGGGTCTAGGCTCCTATCAGTGGGCATGTGAGTTGTTTTTGGGGTTTGTGTGTGTGTGTGTGTGTGTGTGTGTGTGTGTAAAGAATAGTGAGCTATTTTTCTTAACGCAGAGGGAACACGTCACATGGTCAGGGTAAAGGTTTCCTGGGAGGAGAGGGTGGGGTGAAGAAGGCTGGGGAGCAGCTGGCTGTCGGGGTGGTTGCTCTCTGGCATCGGTGCTTCCTGCCTGGCAATCGTCACGGATGCCCTTTTGTCCACGTCCCAATAGAACGTCAGTGCCCAGATCACACAGACCTGGCGGGAGGGGTCCTGAGCCACAGTCCTCTGAGAAGCCGGCCCCAACCTTGGCATACCAGGTGGGGGGCTCCCCATTCTCTCCACCCTCAAAGCACCCCCTTGACTCTGCGAGGGGCCTTGGGAGGGGGGCTGCAAGGTGGGCTCTGGAGCCACTCAGCTTCCCAACCCATGAGATAAGCGGTCGAGAGGACCCACCCCTTTGCAGAGAGGACTAGACTGGCCAGCCGACAGGCCGTCACTGTTGGCTGCCAGCCACTCGTGGGGTCCTAGACCCAGGGAGGTGACAACTAGTCCTGGGGTGCTCACTCTGCTTGTGTACGGACCATGTCACACACATGAACATGTAAGGACCGTGTCACACGCATGAACATGTATGGACCGTGTCACACGCATGAGCATGTAAGGACCGTGTCACACGCATGAGCATGTAAGGACCGTGTCACACGCATGAACATGTAAGGACCGTGTCACACGCATGAGCATGTAAGGACCGTGTCACACGCATGAACATGTAAGGACCGTGTCACACACATGAACATGTAAGGACTGTGTCACACGCATGAACAAAAGGACATCCGAGCGGGCACAAGTTCTTGGCACTCATGACCACCACCACCACCCCAAGGGGGTGGCTGTTCATACCACCACCACCCTCCCCAAAGTGTTTATGTGATCTGCTCACACAGAGAAAGCAGTGGGGTCTGTTTCTGTCCCCAGAAGCCTGTCCCTGTGCCCCTTCCCACACACAGGCCGAGCCAGGCCCAGGGGTGATGAGTCCGCCCCCATTCACCACACCCACCCTCTCTTCTCTGATGGGAGGATTCAAGGGACCCACCCAGTCCTCACTATCTTCTCTTGAACCTACCCACTCCAGGCCCGGTGATGGACAGAGCCCGGGCTGCTGCCGCCCTCCTGGTGTGACACTTGGCCCGGGGCAACAGTCAGAGTGGCCGGGAGAATGGGAGGTGATGGGTGCTGCCTTGGGGCACTGCATGTGGCAGTCACAGATGAAGGGGGCAGGCAGAGCCTAGGCAGGCGGAGTAAGGTCACAGGGGAGGAGGCAGAGCTGAGGACAGGATGGGCCAGACACGCCAGGGCCCCGAGAACCGGAGGAGAAGTGGGCCACGGCGCCTCCGTGGTGTCAGGAGGCGGGTGGCCTGGCTACACCTGGCCTGGCTTTGGAGGCACCTGGACGGGCACCGGAGCCTGTTCCACAGCTTCCTCGCATTGCCTGGAGTTGGACACAAGCCTGCCCTGCAGGAGGCATTCCAGATCCAGCAGGTGGACGTGGGAAGACCCCCGAGTGACCTCCCCCTTCTAAGCCATAGCCCCCTCTGACCGCACAGCCAGTGGTCTGCCTAGAAGACACACTTCCAGAGCCTGTGGCCCTTCAGCCAGAGCCAGGGAGGCTGCTGCAGCCTGAGGCACCCACATGGAGATATTCTGGAAGCCGGTGCTGTTGTCCTGGCTGGTGGAGAGAGGGATCACGTGACGTCCATACACGGAGCTCTTGACCACGAGGACCAGCAGCACCAGCACAGCTGGGACCCCTGTGGGTGGGATAGAGGCCCAGGAGACCCTGAAGAGGGGCCGGCCCTGGGCTCCAGGGGCTACTAAGAGAGAATCCCTCTGGGTAAGGGGGCTGGAGACTGCTCTGAGCCCCCAGGCCCTGCCATGTGGGGCAGCCTCCGAGCAATTCGCCTGGCGGTCAGGGCAGAGGCGCCACGACGAAGTTGGTGAGGCTCCAGGGCACCAGAGAGGTGGTGACAGAGAGCCAAGGGCAGAGGCGGCTGGGGAGCTGCAGG